CTTATTTTAAACCAAGATAGCCTAATGTAGTTAAAAATTTGGAAGAAAATCTCTAAACATTTAAATAACCCAGTAGAGTTATTCTTACCATTCTGAAAACATCAGTTGATGCTGATCCCATTCCTGAAAGCATCAGGGCAACCTGTTCATATTTCTCTGCTCAGTAGATGGATTAATGGTACACAAAAAGCTTAACTAGAGCATGAACATATTTTGCTAATCCTGAATCATTTGGATTTAGTGATGGGATTATAATGTCTACCATTTTGTATAAAATGAGCCACCTTGTTTACCCCATGGGTTATCTAAAAGATTAAACTCTCAGTTTACAAAAAGAACATGATCATTATTATTAGACTCAAACTGCATGTTTTTTTTTTTTAAATTCACATAGGTAAATTGAGGCTTAAATTTTGGTTTGAAAACTTAAAACCATATGCTGCTTGGTTAAAACTGTTTCTGATATATCAGTAGCCATCTAACAGAAGAAAAATAAGAAGTGACCACAATATATTAAGAATATAGACTACAAGGACAAAAGGATCCAGAAGAACACTTTGTAAATTTGCTTACATTGACTCTTTCGACACGGCGCATTTCGTCTTCAAGCAACGATAGTTGTGCAGCTGATGTCCAATGAATGCAGTCAACAGGGCTAAAACACAAAAAGTTATTGTTAAATTATTATCTGAAATCTCCATTAGCCTAGTAAGTTCACAAGCAGTGCTTTTGTCATAGCACTGGTCTGAAAACTCGAGTACCTCATGGCAGCAGTAGAGATTTAAAGAGTTAAATATGTTTTCAAAAATCCATGTGATAGAACTGATATTTTCAACTATACACTGGATATACTTCTTTATTGAACACTGACTATTTCCTTATTAATGTGACAGGAAAAGATAGCCCAGAACACAATTGTATCTTTATAGTAGATACCACTGGTATTTCGAGAGAACTTTCTCTCAGCCCTTCCCAACAATTTTCCCAAAAAAACAGAACAGACAAAAAACTGATATATGTCTATTACAGTTATAACCTCTTACGTTTCAATTGTCTGTTTTTTCTCATTCTTTTGTATACAATACCTTATGTATCATACACGAATTAAGAATTTGTTCCTGTTTGAAACTTTGATATATTTTGGTTTCCAAACTTTAAAAATGAATCAATAGAATTCTTTTAGTCCAATTATTTAAACTGTTTTTACTTGTAAAACTCATTTCTTAGTTGAAATTGAAGCAGAAGCGTATTGAACTGTGTAAACAATTTAAATGTATTAAACAGGTTTGACGTGTCAAAAGTATTTAACGTAATTAAATTAAAATTATTATATTCATTATTTTTAAAACATGAGAGCCAAAATGTATGAAAGTTTCACTTAGGACAAAGTCTAATTTTGTGTCAAATTTTATATACTAAAATCATATTTAACCTACGTATAAATTGCATTGAAACAATCTTTACACAAGATGGTTTATAAATAACATCTAATGTGTTCAAAATTAATCATGTTAATGGAAACTAGGGACACAAAAGTGGGTGATATGAGAAAATACAGCTTATGGATTATACCAACTATCAATAGCCTGTTGAACTAAGTCAGGTTTCCCGCATTGGCTGTACACTCTGGCTCTCCCAAATTCTTCCTCTATTCCAAACACATCACAGGCCACATTGGCACAATTTTTGCAGCCTGTCAAGGATTTCAAGTACAATTACACAACATGCCTTGTAATTGTTCTAGTTGAGGATCTAACAAATAAAATGAAGCAACATCTTGGCCTATCAACACATGAAGCATTGCAAATTTTAGATGTCAGTATTGTCTCTTTGGCTTTACCAACTCCTGCTAGACTAATAACAGTTTCAAATGCACAACAATATGAACATATAAGATAACATCATAGTTTCTAGAATGAGAAACAGTACCTATGCAGCTGAATTCATCAACAAAAACATGATCCTTTGGACTAGACTGATCCAGAAAAGGGTTAATGGAAGTCAAAGAATACCCATGAATTTCATCATAAATCATGCGCTGAATGGGATCACTGAGCACCTGCACTGAAATTATCAGTTTACTATATACATATACAAAACAAACTTGAATAACAGTTTTCACAAGATTTAAACTTTCTAATCTTCAAATGAAACGCACCCCATACACTTCATTGATGAACGTGCAGAAGTTGGTTGTCTCAGGATCATTGCCACTTAAATCTGGATGGCAAGCTTTCATGCAATTGTAGTAGGCCTTCTTGATCTGTGCAGGAGTGGCATCTGGAAGCTGGTGAAATGGAACAAACAACCAATCAGTTGACCCAATTTCGATGTATTATAAATAAATTATTTACTCTATCAACTAATAACAAATGATATTAGGTAAAATTATATAAAACTCATAAAAAGAATATTTTTATTCATTTCACTATTATTTACCATTTAATGATATTTTTAGCAGAATAAAACAGAGGAAAGATGAAAGTGTGATATACATTACCAGACCCAGAACTGCATAGTAGTCATCTGCAACAGTGTCACTGGTTAAAAACGATTTTTCCTCAGCAGCAACTCTTACCCTACCACACCCTCTTCGTTTGCCATTGTGTGTCACAGAGTTCATGTGGGTTGAAGTTTTTGGCAGCATCCCCCATGAGCTTCTGGAACAAAATTTCTGTGATGGGTTATGCAGTTTGAGAGGTTCTGTGTACACTGGAGACAGTAACTTGGCCATTCAAAACACCAATAAGAGAAACTTGTCTAGATGAAAGTTGGATTGAAGAGTTGAAACTAGAAATCAAATGACATAAAAAGATAAATTAAATTAATTAATAAATTGTTCAAATTTTCTTTTTGTTGATAATTGGAGATTTTAAGTTCTAATTTTTAAGGAGGAAGAAATTTGGGTTGAGAATATCAGAGGCGGTGTTGCTGACGTGGCATGTGACAACCAATGACATCCATAGAATTTGGTGGAACCTGAGATGAATCTAGGAGAGTGGAAAAACGAATCCAAGCGGGTTTACGTGAGAAAGGCACGTGTCATCATGTGCACGCATGTGGTATCGTGTTGCCAGTGTTGTGTTCCACACCTGCTTTGAGCAAAAAGATCGATACATGGATATTTGTATTTTTAGTTTGTTTTAGGACTTTATATGCTTAATTACTATATTTTAACCTTTTTATGATTTAAACTACGCATTAATCGATTTTTTAAATTTTACAATATTTTTTTTATTTTTCCCCCAAGAAAACTATGTACATTATACATTTTTTTTAAAAAATTTACAACTTGTAACATTTTTTTAAAAAAATTTACAACTTGTAACATTTTTTAGTTTGTCTCACAGCTTTCGAAAGTTTTGAGTATTTTGAACCCTTCCTTGTAATTCAACATTACAAAAGTAAAAAAGAAAAGAAAAGTAGAAAACACTAAAAATATAAAAGTATGCATAAGATGAAAAGAATGAGGAAAATCTTTTAAATATTGCCATTATTTATTTCGATCAACATTATATAAATAATAAGTTTTATCAGCATATTGCATTAGTTAAACATAAATTAAATAATATTTGCGTGAAGATTAAGAAAATGAGTATTTAAGTTGGTTGAATAAAATGATACTTAAATATTTTATTAATAAAAATCAGGTTATAAATATATNATTTTCTTTTTGTTGATAATTGGAGATTTTAAGTTCTAATTTTTAAGGAGGAAGAAATTTGGGTTGAGAATATCAGAGGCGGTGTTGCTGACGTGGCATGTGACAACCAATGACATCCATAGAATTTGGTGGAACCTGAGATGAATCTAGGAGAGTGGAAAAACGAATCCAAGCGGGTTTACGTGAGAAAGGCACGTGTCATCATGTGCACGCATGTGGTATCGTGTTGCCAGTGTTGTGTTCCACACCTGCTTTGAGCAAAAAGATCGATACATGGATATTTGTATTTTTAGTTTGTTTTAGGACTTTATATGCTTAATTACTATATTTTAACCTTTTTATGATTTAAACTACGCATTAATCGATTTTTTAAATTTTACAATATTTTTTTTATTTTTCCCCCAAGAAAACTATGTACATTATACATTTTTTTAAAAAAATTTACAACTTGTAACATTTTTTTTAAAAAATTTACAACTTGTAACATTTTTTAGTTTGTCTCACAGCTTTCGAAAGTTTTGAGTATTTTGAACCCTTCCTTGTAATTCAACATTACAAAAGTAAAAAAGAAAAGAAAAGTAGAAAACACTAAAAATATAAAAGTATGCATAAGATGAAAAGAATGAGGAAAATCTTTTAAATATTGCCATTATTTATTTCGATCAACATTATATAAATAATAAGTTTTATCAGCATATTGCATTAGTTAAACATAAATTAAATAATATTTGCGTGAAGATTAAGAAAATGAGTATTTAAGTTGGTTGAATAAAATGATACTTAAATATTTTATTAATAAAAATCAGGTTATAAATATATTTTTTTATTATCAAGTTTATTTTATAAAATCTTCTCATCTATTTGTATTATATGTATTTGAGATAATCTTCTTCGGTTGGTGCCTTCAACATCAATCTATTTTGTTGATTTCATGTTTGATCTATAAGGTCGAGATTTTCTTGGTTAGCTTTAAACCACATAGGCTAGAATATCATAAAATAGAGGTAAATCATAATTAACTAAGGTTAACAATTAAAGTGTAACAATTAATTAATTATTTTAGGTATGATTTTATTTTATTTTGACTGATTAGTTTTGTACCTTTTGAAGCATAGACACATTCTCATTTCTTTCTCACTAGTGTCAATACTTTATTTCAGTGAACTCACCTTCAAGAAGTTTTGTTTTGTTTTCATTTTCATTTCTTATGGACTATAAATTGGTTGAACTTGTTGGTATTGTTGATATTGACATTGTTGAACTTGTTTGTTGTTCATACACCCTATACATCCAAACTTAGGATAAAATTTAGAGTATATTCAAAAAAACTCCAAATGACCTGAAAATTTGTTCAAAGCACCAAAACATCATGAGAAACCCCCACAAAAAAGTTTGGATTAAAATTCAAAGTCTAAGTATGTGAAATATTTTTACAATGTTTGAAAAAAACAAAATAAATTGACGAAAAATAGAAAATGGCCTTTTTTTTAAATCTAGAAGGAATAGCTGGCCATGCCAACTATCACGAGCTTGAAAATTTTTTTCTACCCCAAATCGAATAAAATAATACCAAATCTGCCAACTAGAGCAAAAGTTATAATCGTTTAAAGATCTATGACAATTTACTTTCAAAATAATTTTTAAACTTTTCACATAGACCCAACATAAGGGCTTCTGGGTTTTTCTTGTGAAGTATGAGTTCTAAGCAGTGGTAAAAAAATTCAACAAAAAACAATAACCGTAGCTATCAAAACCAAAAATCATAAGTTAATAGTCAATATACACTATTATTCACCATAACACCATTTGCTTGTGATATCTTTTGTTTATAGTTCATCCATGGTTTTTAAGCGCAAGAGGGTTAAATATATGAGCATCAAGTAATATTGAATATTGTGTACTATACTTGGGGAAGATGAGAGTGTCCTATTTGAGAAGTTTCTTGGGTGCACTTCTATAGACATCAATGAGGATGTTGAATCTATAAGAGCGAAGTTTTTGAAGGTCACTTCGTTGTTTATCCTTTTTTTCTTCTTCTTCTTTTTCTTCTTCTTCTTCATCATGTGAGAAATAAGGAAGGATGCCCTTCTTGTTGTGGCGTAAGCTACTTCAGTAGTCAGATTTAGTTGATTGGCCATTTGTGAGAGTTGAGGTTTAGAGGAATGTTGAGGGAAGGCAAAGTGCTGAAGGCTTGAAAGAATTTCAAAGCTCGAGAGTCTTTTGAAAGAGAGTGTGAAAAGCTTAGGTTACACGCTTGGTTTATATGGTGTAAAAAAGGAGGTAACTTTTTGAGGAAGAAAGGGTTTTTGGGGATATATGATTGTAGAGTAATAATTACCATCATGTCTCAGTAAAAGCATGTCTAAGTCTGATGAGTGATATTTATGCCTACATTTATGCTTTAAAATTAAATTTTTGATGAAATTCATGTGCTTGAATGATTGATTTAAAGAGGATTTGTGATGATTTGATATATTGTGTTTGAAATTAAAAGGGACTTAAAAAGTGATTTTAATTGCATAAATTATTCTTGGAAATTCTTATGTTTGCAGTTGAAATTATAAGTTCTATTGGTGCAAATGGCAATTCAAGGCCCAAAATCAGGTTTTATTTGGAAAATAATGTACAAATGGGCTAAACAGACAGACTTTACCCTTGCACTTCCTCCTAAACTCTCTACATACACTCTTATTTCTGAAACAGGCTAACAACCAAGCCCAAACACTAAGCCTTTTCTCCTACACCCCCCTAAGTTTCTTGTTCCTACCCCTCCTAAGCCAAACTCCACCAGATTCTGCCACGTGTCCAAATCCTCCAAACACAGATCTAACCATTAAGAAGCTGCCACGTCATTAATCCTCTGCACACCAAATAGACCAACCACATGTTGCCACATCACCCCCCTCTGCCCCATCATCATCATCTCCATAGAAACCCTAATTCCCAAATCCAAACCCTAGCCACCTATGGTGCCGTCCGCCGCTGCCGTGCGACCTCCACGGTCACCGTTCATCTCCTCCTTTCTTGTCGGCGCATCAACGGACCACCACTTCCGCCACCACAACGCCTCAACCATGCCGCCCCGTCACCGGAAAATAACCATCTTCCTCACATCATCGCGCCACCACGCCGTATATCCAAACAACCACGTCGCCGGCCACCATCTTCTTCCTCGCGAGCTTCTCGGCAGCCAACCCCAAACCAGAGCTGCAAGCCCTCTGTCACTCTCCTCCTCCGTCGCGCACCATGCCGCTATCCTCCACGGCAGCCACCGCATGCCGCGCATCACCTTCTTCCACCACCTTGCCGCCGCGCCACTACAGGCCACCACAGAGTCTCGCCGTCAGTCACCCAAAATCGCGAAGACCATCGTCGCGAGGCCACCACTGGGTGAATATGTCCACCATCACCTAACCTTTCTTCTTCGTGAGTTCTTCACGCCTTGCTCCCACCCATTGCTGCTTCTTCATCTTCTCCACTACCTGCAAAGCAAACACAGATCCAGAAACAGAAATCAAAATTGTTGCCGCCATCGAGAGCACCATGGAAATCGCGGATTTCCCTTTTTCTTCCTCCATCAACGACGACAGTTCGCAATAGCGGTGCCGGAAGCGTCTCCTATTTTCCTCATGACGGCAAAGTGGCGGCACAGAGAAAGCCCTTTTCCCCAATCTGCAAAACCCTAATTTTGGGTGGGAAATGGGGTGACAAGTGGCGAGTTCCCATTGACCACGACCATATGAGTCAAAGCTGGTCAACAAGCCTTCTCTGGTCAAAGTCTGGTCAAACAGGGACTTCTAGTGTAATTTTGGGAAATTCAAAAGGGACTAAAGTGCAGATAGAAGAAATTCAGGGCTTATGTATAATTTTAGAAAGTCAGAAAAGCTAAAAGATAAAATTCAGTTGTTGAATTAATTTAAATTGGGAATATCAACAGAAAATATCTTCCAAATAATGTTATAATTATCTAAATCTTTTAGTTATTTGAAAGATATAAGATAAAAGATTCTATCAACTGAATATTCAGAGTCCAAGCCCAATCAAGCCCTATATAAAGAGACCCAGGGGAGGCAGAAAAGGACTTCACTTCATTCATTCATTCACCACTTCTCTCTCTCTCTTATTTCATCTTGTATTGAACTCCATTCATGGAGAGCTGAGCATCTAGGGCTATTCTGCTGTAATTCCATTATGGAT